CTTTCACGAAAAGAATGACAGTCTATAGATGGGTGGGCTTATTTCTAGGTTCTCAATTCTACTCCATTGATCTCTGTGCCTGGTATGGAACCAGTCCCAGACTATTTTGATTACTGTGTCTATAGAGTACAAGGGTTTTTGGTTTGTTTTTTAATTTTTATTTTCTATTGGTTTGCATACAAAATTCTTAGACATTTTGTTTCACATTTTCCTTCATTTGCATTGTGTTTCATACAGTCATTCCCATACAATGTGTTTTATAAAATTAGTCACCGTTGAACTATGCCCACAATTACCCTGTCTTCTTAGGTCCTCGCCTGATCTTTCCCATTTCCTTTGCCCCCTTTCTAAACGCAATAAATTGTGCAAAACTGTGGTTTCCCCCCTACCCACTCTCACCCTCGGCTTCCATTCCTTCCCCTCTTGGACCTCCATAAGCATTTTACTAGTTATTTTTCTATTATTACGATAATGGTCTTAAGTAGTATTTGTCCTTATGAGGCTGAGTTAGTTCACTCAGCATAATCTCTTCCAGTCTCTCCCACATTATGTAGTATTTTTCAAAATTGTTGCTCCTGAGTGCTGCATAGTATTTCATGATGTGAATGTGCCACATTTTCTCAATCCATTTGGTTGTGGTTGAACATTTGGACTATTTCCGTGTTCTAGTGATGGTGAATAACGCTGTTTGAACATTGGTGTACAAATCTCCATTTGTGTCTCAGTTCTAGTTTCCTTGGGATATATTCCTAGCAGTGGAGTAACCGGGTCGAATGAGTTTCTATGTTCAGCTTGTTGAGGAAAGACCAAACTGCCTTCCTTCCACAGTTCTACCATTTTACAATCCCAACAACAGTGTATGAGAGTTCAAATCTCTCCACATCCTCCCTAACATTTATTGTTTGTTGTCCTTTTAAACTTTGCCACTGTTATTGGGGTGAGATGGCATCATCTCATGGTGGTTTTGATTTGCATCTCTCTTATTGTCAGTGATTTGAACATTTCTTCATGTGTCTGTTGGCCATATGAATGTCTTCCTTTGTGAAAAATCTTTCCATGTCTTTTGCCCATTTTGTAATTGGGTTGTCATGCTTTTACTTAGGGACACCCTGTAGTATTCTGTAATTGTTATGAGACCCTTGTCTGAGAAGGTATTACCAAATGTTTTTCCCTAAGGTGTAGACTTTCTTTTCACCCTACTGGGAAAAGTTTTTGATGCATACAAGGATTTGATTTTTAGAAAGCCCTATTCCTCAATTTCAGCCTCTCTTGGTTATACATTTCTGACTGTATTTGCCAACTTCTTTATACTATGAAGAGGTAAGATTGGTCTTACCTTGGCCTTCTAAGATTGGTCCCATTTTGTCTCTAATAATCTTTATGATTTGGGGATTCATCCTATATAGTACATTTTGATATCAGGAAGTGTGAGATTTCCTACTTGAAATTCTTCTTCCACATTGCTTAGCTGAATGGAGACTGGGTTTTCCATTTCATTAAGAATGTTGCTGAAGTTTAGAGCAGGATTGCATTTTATCTATAAATCACTTTTGGTACTTAGAAACATTTTCACAATGTTAAGTCTTCTGATACAGGAGCATAGAATTATTTTCCATTTATATTGATCTCTTTTGAGTTTCTCACAGCAGTGTTTTATACTTTTCCTTACATAACTCTTTTCCATCCCTGGTTAGATTTACTCCTTTATCCTTTTGTGGTCTATGCTAAATAATGTTGGTTTCTTTTTTCAGAGTCCTCCTTGTTCATGTAAAGGAACCCAACTGGAGTGAGTGAGTGTGTATGTGTGTGTGTGTGTGTGTGTGTGTTGACCTGTACCTGCCACTTTGAGGATTTATAAGTTCCAGTAACTTTTGTATGTAGTTGTTCTCTGAGTAAGATCAATCATGTTATCTGAAAGTAAGAATATCTTTACTTCTTTCTTTGCAATTTGGAAACATTTTCTTTCCTTTTCTTGCTACTAAAGCAAGTTCTCGAGCTTGAACTTCCAGTATGACAGCGTGTAGCGTAGTGTTAACGGGCTTCCTTGATCTCATTCTTGCTTTCAAAGGGGAGTATGCTCAGTCTTTTCTCCACTGTGAAGAATATGAGCTGTTGGTTTTGCATAGGTGCCTTTAATTATGTTGTATAATTTCTCTTCTCTTTTTACTTTTCTGAGAGGTTTTTATCAGAAAAAGGGGTGAGATTTAGCAAATGCTTTTTCTGCATCCATTGAGATGATCACATGATTCTGTACCATTGTTTAATTTATGTGGTGAATTAGCACGCAATTCTTTTAATGTCATGTAAGAGCATTTTCCAATTAGCTATCTCCTGCCTCAGGAAAGAAAACTTTGTATTCACAGTGGAGTAGGGTACAGATGGTCTCTCAGTTGTGTAAAGTGAGATGTCGTCCAAAGTGTGATCTTTTTGTTTTTCTGTCTGGAAGATGAGATAACCCCAAATGTTGTGATTTCATGGCTCTGTTGATGAATCAGTTTTATACCTAACTTAGGAAAGTGATTTCAACACATTTTTCCTTCTTGTCTATATAAATACCATGATCCCCAGGTGGCTCAAGTTGTTTGCATTCAATTACTAACCTAAAAGTTGGGGTTCAAACGCACCCAGCAGTGCTGCAGATAAAAGCAAGCCTTGACAATCTGCTTCCACACATTCCAGCCAAGAAAACCCGGCGCTGTTGTTACTAACGGTGAGATGACAGCTTATTGTTCTCAGCTGCATCTCTTTTAAGAAACCCTGTTGCTGTAATTCTTAGCATATCACCCAGCTAACCAAATGTCAGTGATCGGAATCCATCAGTGTCTCCTTGGGAGAAAGATGGCCACTGTTCTTGCTGTTGTTATGTGCTATTGGGTCGCCTGTGAACTTAGAGCGACATAATATGCACAACAGCTCTGAACCCTGCTCTATCCTGAGCCAAACTCACCGTTTCTGATACACCTACCCCCATTACCCCAGTTAGTGTGTTAATCCATCTCATCTGGGGTCTTCCTCTCCTGTGCTATCCCCACAACCCTTCTGAGCATGATGTCCTTCCCCAGGGATTGGTCCCTCCTGCCTACATGCCCACATATGTGAGACAGAGCTTCAAAATCCTTGCCTCCACGGAGCAACTTGGTTTCACCTTCTCCAGGATAGACCTGTTTGCTCTGCTGGCAATTCCTGATATGTTCAATACTCTTTTCCTGCACCAAAACTCAAAGACATAAATTCTTCTTCTGTCATCCTTAGTCATTGTCCAGCTCTCTGATGTATAGCAAGTAACTGTGAAGACCACAGCCTGGATCTGGCACACCTTAGTCTCCAGACTGACATCATTGCTCTTCAACACTCTGGAGAGGTCCCTGATAGCAGATTTTACTAAGGCAATTTGTGTTCTGATATCCTCACTGCTAGTATCAAGAGATACTAGAACTGAGCCAGCTGAAATAAAATGGTCACTACCTTTACATAGTGCTATACATCAGGGAGCTGGACAATGAATAAGGATGACAAAAATAAAAATCGATGCCTTTGAGCTGTGGTGTTGGAGAAGAGCACTGAACATCCCATGGACTGCCAAGAGAACAAATGGATATGTCTTGGAGACAGTGCAGCGGGAGTGCTCTTTGGAGGCAAGAATGTGAGGCTTCAATTCACATACTTCAAACATGTTGCTAGGAGGGCCTATTCCTTGAAGAGGGACATGATGTTTGGAAGGAGAGTCAGCAAAAGAGAGGGAAATCCCTCAACGAGGTGGACTGACACGATGACTGCCACAATGTGGCAGGGCTATAGTTTGTCAGGAATAGCGAAGGTGGCACAGGATAGGACAGGGTTTCGATCTGTTGTTCACAGGGTGGCTGTGAGTCATACTCAACTCAATGACACTTAACAATAAGAACAAGAACCCTTACACATTTACAACAATGGAAACCAGATGGAAGGTCACTATGAGTCAGAATAGATTAATGGCAGTGGGAGGGGTAATTTCTTCCAATGGCTAAGGAAGTCTCTCTAGTGGCACGCTGTATAAGCATTGAGCAGGAATAAGGGAGTCTGTTTCAGAACAAGGATGCTGTAGTTAACCATGGTAGAATTACTACCATTACTCTCTCTGTTCTGGGTCCTGGTAAATACTTCAAATACAGCGGTACCTCCTTAAGGTATCAAAATCAGATAAAAAAAATGCTCATTATCTTTTTATTGAATATACCATGGACTGCTAAAAGAACAAACAGGTTCGCCCTAGAGAGGGTGAGACCAGGCTGCTCCTTGGAGGCAAGGATTCTGAAGCTCCATCTGACACACTTTGGACATGTTGCAAGGAGGGAACCAAGCCCTGAAGAGGGATGTCATGCTTGGGAGGGGAGGAGGGACAGTGCAGGAGAGGAAGACCCTTGATTAGATGAATTGATTCTGTGACTGGGGTAATGGGGGTAGGTGTGTCGGAGACAGTGAGACTGGTACAGGATAGAGCAGGGTTTAGGGCTGTTGGATGTACAGTCCTATGAGTCACAGGCAACTTGATGGCACGTAACAACAACAATTTATCTTTTAGGTAAATAGTACACTTGTAGTGATTTCAGGGCCAGTCAAGTCATATGACTGTGTACTGTGAAGCAGATGTAATACAACGAGGAACAGTAAAGATCTGGGCAACATCTCCATGTCCACGCCTTGTCTAAAGAGGATATTAACTATTCAGCTACTCAAGTGTTGCTTTATAAGCTCAATTATGCTACATCTCCTGGCTTCACGAGAAAAGCTAGAAATTTACGGTTTTAAGGAAACTTCCTGGTTTTTAAAAATAAATATTGGTTTTTTCATTGGTATGAAGGCTGAACAAAATGTATCTGAAAGGCAGAACCAAACTACCTGTCAACTGTTATGGCACTTTTAAGAGAGAAAGGAAAACATGTTAGTCCCCAACGTTTGATGGGTCAAAAACCACACTGGAGCTATCAAAACAAAACAAAACAAAATAAAATCCTCCTTACCAGCCATCAACACCAGCCTTCTGCAGTTCAGAAATCCCAAAGGACAGTGATCCCATGAAGTCATTCCTGCTAGTTAGATCCCAATCCCAAATCTCTACAGACAGTCTTCTGTCTTTGTCTGATTCTTTCAGCTGACTGCAGAGGAAGAAGAGGGGTAAAAAAAGGCAACAAGAAGTCACTGGCAGTTGTAGGGCTTTCTGAAGCAGAGAAAGTAGGCACAAGGACAAGACTCAGAGACAGGGATTTGAAAAGGTTACAAGATATTGCAATGATCTCCTTCTGTTTCCCTCTCAAGTTAGATCCTCAGGGAGGAAGGGCTTCTCCTGTTTGACAGCCTGTGGCTTTGGCCAGTGGAGAACCTAGGCCAGTTCTGACATTCTGTTTCTGCTAGCTTTTGTTTGGTGTTGGGAGTATTCAACACACACACACGCATGTGCGTGCGCGCACACACACACACACACACACACACACACACATACACATGTTACTAAAAGACTCAATTATATGTTGTTGTTATGGTTGATTGCCTTCAGGTCAAGCATGACTCATAGCAATACTACAAACAAAAGGCCTGAAGCCCCTCTACAACTATCCACATTTCTCAAAGTTCATAGAGTTTCCAGATGCATGTTGTTTAGGAAGTGGATGCCACTCCTGCTTCCAAACCTGTCATAGAATGTTATTTGTTGAATCACCTACAATGCATAACAACCCTATGTACAGCAGCTCAGAGCTCTTCCCTATCCTGAGCCAGTCTCACTGACACATCAATCCCCACTGCCCTAGTTACTGTATCAATCCATCTCAACCAGGGTCTCCCTCTCTTACGCTGTCTGTCAACCCTTCTGAGCATGATGTCCTTCTCCAGGGATCGATCTCTCCCGGCCACATGCCCAAAGTAAGTGAGGTGGAGCTTCAAAATCCTAGCCTCCAAGGAGAGACTTGGTTTTACCCTCTCCAAGACAGATTTGTTTTCTTGGCCATCCATGGTGTGTCCAAGACTCTTCTCCAGCACCACAAGTTGAATGCATCTATTCTTCTTCTGTCATCCTTAGTCATTGTCCAACTTTCTGAAGCATAACAAGTAATTGGGAAGACCACGGCCTGGATTAGGTGCACCTTTGTATCTAGACTGGCATCATTGCTCTTCAGCACTCTGAAGAGGTCCATAACAGCAGATTTTCCCAATGCAATTCATCTTCTGATTTCCTTACTGCTGATGATCGTGGATCTGAGCAAGCTGGAATTACTAACAACTTCCAGTCTCTTCTCCATCTATCACGGTGCTGCCAGTTGGCCCAGTGGTAAGAATCTTTGTCTTTTTGATGTTGAGCTTAGCTTCAATACATATTGAAGACAACAGTCCGTGACCTTTTACAGCAAGTGCTTCAGGTCTTCTTCAGTTTCAGCAAGCAAGGTTGTGTTGTGTCATCTGCATATCGTAGGTTGTTAATGAATCTTCCTCCAATCTTGATGCCACACTCCTCCTCATAAAGCCCTACTTCCCGAATGATTTGTTTTGCATACCGATTGAAAATGTACAGGGACAGGGGGCATACCTGACACACTTCTTTCTTGATTTTGGACCATGCAGTGTGTCCCTGCTCTGTTCTGAGTACTGCTTCTTGGTCCAAGTATAGGTTTTGTATAAGCATGATCAAGTGTTCTGAAATTCCCATTTTCCTCAAGGTTAGCCACAATTTATTGTGATCCACACAGTCAAATGCCTTTGCATAGTCAATGAAACACAGATAGACATTCTTCTGGTACTGCCAAGATCTATCTGAAATTTGTAATAATATCCCTACTGTCACGACCTCTTTCTTCTAAAGCCGGCTTGCATTTATGGTAGTTCTCTGTCGATGTACTGTTCAAGTCTTTCCTGGATTATCTTCAGCAAGATTTTGCTAGGGTGTGATATTAGTGATATTGTTCAATAATTTCCACACTCTGTCAGGTCACCTTTTTGGGGAATGGGAATAGGGATCTCTTCCAGTCAACTGGCTAAAGAGTTGTCCTCCAGATTTCTTGGCACAACTTGGTGAGCACATGCAGGGCAGCATCTGTTTGCTGAAATACGCCAATTGGTATTCCATCAATTCCTGGAGCTTTTTCCCCCCCAAGTCCTTCAGAGCAGCCTGCACTTCCTCCTTCATTACCTTGTCTCTTGCTCATGTTGTTTTTTAAAATTCTTCTGTGTCAGCCAGTTCTTTTTGGTACAATGACTCTATTCTCCTTCTATCTGCTTTTAATGCTTTTTGAATCATTCAGTATTCTGCCCATATCATTCTCATGGCTTGCATTTATTTTTCAGTTCTTCCAGCTTAGGAAATGCTGAGCGAGCTCAGCCCTTTTGTTTTTCAGACTCCAGCTCCTTGCACATTTCATTATAATATTCTGCCTTATCTTCCCAAGTGGCCTTTTAACATCTTCTATTCAGCTCCTTAACTTCTTGATTTCTTCCCTTTGCTTTGGTCTCAGTGCTTTAGTGCAACATTCAGAGTCTCTTCTGACATCCATTTTGGTCTTTGCTTCTTTTTCCTTCTTTTTAATGACTTTTTGCATTCTTCATGAACAATATTCTTGATAGCTTCCCACAGCTTATCTAGACTTTGTTCATTAGTGTTCAAGACCTCAAACCTATTCCTGAGTTTGTTTTTAAATTCTTGGGCAATAGACTCAAGGTCAAATTTTTATTCCCGTGGATATGATTTAACCCTCTTTAGTTTTAATTTGAACTTGCATCTGAGCAGTTGATGGTCTATCAGCACCTGCCCTAGTTTTCACTCCTGATACTGAACTTCACCAACGGTTCCTTCCAGAGGTATAATCAATTTGATTCCTATGCATCCTATCAGGTGAAATCCATGTGTACAACCTGTGTGTATGTTTCTTATAAAAGGTATTTGCGATGAATAAATCCTTGATTGTGCAGAATTCTATCAGCCTATCTCCAGCCTCATTTCTGTCACCAAATTCATATTTTCCTACTACCGAACCTTTTTCCCCGATTCCCAACTTTTGCATTCCAGTCACCCTTTACTATTAATGCATCTTGATTACATGTTCAATCTATTTCTGACTGTAACAGCTGATAGAAATCATCTATTTCCTTCTCTTTGGCTCTGGTTGTAGGTGCATAAATTTGAAGGGTAGTGGTATTAACAGGTCTTCCTTGTACGCGTATGGATATTATTCTGTCACTCACAATATTGTGTTTCAAGATGGATCTAGAAATGGCCTTTTAAACTATGAAAGTGACCCGTTTTTCCTCACCTTTTCATCTCCAGCATAATAGATCATATGATCATGAGATTCAAAATATCCCGTGCCAATCCATCTCATTTAGCTAATACCCAATATGCCAATATTTATGCGTTCCATTTCTTTGTTTACAATGTTCAGTTTTTCTACATTCATGCTTCTCACTTTCCATGTACCAACTGTTAATTTCTTCTTACAACTGTTTCTCCTCCTTTGTGTTTCCAAATCTGAGGGCTCAACTTCAGTTGCCCTATCTGTTAGTCTACTCTAAGTGTGCTCTGCTGTACATAGGGTTTTCAGAGGTGAGTTGTATTTGAGAAGTGGATGGCCAATCCTTCTTTCTAGTCTGTTTTAATTTGGATGTTCACTGTCAGAAGATTATCTGGAAAACAAGCACTTTACCTACCACATGAAAGACCCTTACAGAAATAACCAAAACATTCACTGCCCATCCACCCCAAGCACATGTGATTTGTCTCCACTCTTTCCCTGCTACACCCCCATTCCGTTGTCCACCTCTTGTTTAGGATGATGTAAATCCAAATCTCATGTACCAACTTCAGAGAAAGATTTTTACTTGAGGTCATACTGAGGGGAGATCCTGACCACACAGCTTCTTCTAAGTTCTAGGACTTACTATCTCTGTTTACACTGCTGATCCAATGAGATAATTCCAAGGTCCAGACAGGTGAATAACTGCGTGTTTTGAGTCCTTGGGTGGTATGAGCGGTTACAGCATTTGGCCACTAACCTACCTGAGTAGTGTAAGTCATTTAAGCATTTGGTCACTAACCAAGAGGCTGCCGGTTCAAGTTCACCAGTGACGCCTCAGAGAAAGGCCTAGTGATCTACTTCTGGAAAACACATCATTGAAAACCTTTGCTGCACAATTCCGTTCTAACACACAAGGAGTGGCTGAAAGTTGAAGTCAATGGCAACTGGTCTATTCCTGTCCACACATATAAGGGTGTTGGGGACGCTGGACGGGAGAGTTGTGTGTTCTGAGGTGTAGCCTCGATTGGCACTGAGATGGTTCCAGTTTGGGCCGGACAGAGGAAACAGAGGTCAGGGCCTCCACGAGCAACTAAGTTCTCTCTACGTTGGCTAAAGCACAACCTTCAGAGTCAGACCACCTGAGACTGGATCCCATTCCTTCTGAATTTACTGCAGGGCATCAGTCAGATGACTTAACCTAATGACCCCTGAGAAAACTGAGAGGCTTCAAGCCAATGAGTCTTATCACTTAAACAAGTGTTTATTATACACAGTGTATACAATAAATAATATCTGCTATAACTAAAACATGATAAGGGAGCTCTGGCGGTCTAGTGGTAAGAAGCTGCATTGCCATCCCAAAAGTATATGGTTCAAACCCACTAGCTGCTCCCTGGGAGAAAGATGGGCAATCTCCTCCCGTGAGACTGATTACTTGTCTGAAAATGTGCTGGAGGGTCAGCTATGGGTCAGTTCCGACTTGATGACACACAACAACATAATTAACAATAATGATAATAACATAATAATTAGTCTAAAGGCATTTTCAGGGAAGCGAGAGATCCAGATTTTTTAAAGGAAATGTCCTGATTTTTTTAATACATATGGGTTTTTGGGTTGTTTTAACACAACCTTCAGATAACTGGCCAGGAAATATCATCAGGGGAAGTCGGTGGAGAGGAGCTTCCAGAAGGGAGCTGGATGTGCCAGGGGATTGTCATACCTGGAGACTATGTTTCACTACTGTAACTATCCACATTCCTCTACTGCTCAAAGGGCTTTCAGAGGCCTGTTATTTAAGAAATGGTGGCCAATCCTGCTTCCTAGTCTGTCTTAATCTGGGAGCTCTACTAAAACCCGTCCACCCTGGGTAACGCTAGTGGCATCTGACAGATCAGTGGCGTAGCTTCCAGCATCACAGCAACCCACAAGTTATCTCAGTTCAGCCAACTGACGGACTGAGCTGTGGTGTTGGAGAAGAGCACTGAACAGCTCATGGATGGCGGAAAGAACAAACAGTTATGTCTTGGAAAGGGTACAAACGGAGTGCTCTTTGGAGGCAAGGATGATGAGGCTTCACCTTACATGTTCGGGCATGTTGATGAGGGGCTATTCCTTGGAGAGGGACAGGATACTTGGAAAGGCTAGTAAAGGAGAGGAAGACCCTCAACCAGGTGGATTGACAAGGTGACTGTCACAATGGGCTCGAATGTGTTAGGAAGTGTGGGGATGACACAGGATAGGACAGGGTTCAGATCTATTGTTCATAGGGTCAGTTTGGCTTGTACTCAACAGTACATAATAACAACAGACCCTATATCCCACTCACATCACCAGACACTCATGCCTGTCCCTGTCCCCCCTGCTCCTCCACACCACTGGCACCCTTACCTGTACGGGGGGGGGGGGGGGAGTTTTCAACTTTGCTTACCTCTCGATGCAAAAATAAAAAGTGATTAGGTGAACACAGGGAGGGAAAAAAACAACAGAAAAGCTGAGAAAGTAGAACAAAAGCACTCCAACCTCGACGTGCTCACCACCTAACTAACTGTGCCACCCGCTCGAGGCTGGAATGATTTTAACTTACAATTTGAAGGTCTCATTCCACTCCGGGTTGAGGGAGCACTTGATGGTTTTGGTCTTCTGCTTGCTCTCGCTTTTGGGGTCAGGAATCAGTTTCAGTTTGACGTAGGGATCTGACAAGCCATTGGGGTCCATAGGTACAAGGTTTTTAGCATCTCTTACTAAAAAAAAAAAAAAAAAGGAAAGAAAAAAGAAAAGCCATTTCAGCATTGTTGTTGTTGTCTGCCATCAATACAGAGCCGAATGACTCACAGCTGACCCTCCAACGGGTTTTCAGAGGCAGGAGATTGCATGGGAGGAAAGTGCCTGCCCTTTTCTCATGGAGGTGGTAGATTCGAACCACGTGCCTTTGGGAATGCAGTGCAATTTCTTACCACTATGCCACCAGAGCTCCCATCAGTTTCAGCATCAGTGGTGGTTTAAGCTGCAACAGTGGTGCCTGTAGAACCTGTGGAAGGGTCTTTGGTTTCATCTGCTTTGACAAGAATTTAACTGTGTTCACTAAGTCTCCCTACCAGGAATTCACAGATCATCTTGTAAAGACTCACACCAGAGTCTCCGTGCAGAGGACTCAGGCTCCAGCTGTGGCCACCACACAGTGGAGTTTCTATAACAAATAAAGTTAATTAAGTTCTTAAAAAAAAAAAGAATTTGACTTGATCAAATATTGAAGAGGCATACTAAGGGGGATAAGCAGGCATGATGCAGGCGAGGCTTTATATTGGTATAAAATTGATTCCTTACTGTTCTTCCCACCCTAAATCAGGATTATTTGCAAGTTCTCTAAGCTTTTTTTTTTTTTTTTTTTTTCTTTCACAAAGCCCGGAAAGAAGTCTTGCCCTCGAAACAATGATACACCGGTCACGCACATACAACGCACAACCGGCACCCTCCTAAACCCTTAGGAAAAGGGCTGGGAGGAATGTCAGCAGCACTGTACGCAGGGCTGACAGAGACTCTGGGTAAAGGTGGCTGTAAGACGAGGCTGAGAAAAGGAGAGGAAACAGCAGAGGAGAGGCAGATGGTAAAGTGAGGTGGAATAAGACGTGAACCTGGAAGAACAAGAAGTTAGGTAATTACAGGTCACTTCCGAAGCTGGTACACCACAGGGTCACGGGAAGGAGATCAGAATAAAGGATTTACAAATATTTCTAAATGTAGGCACCCTGGTCAGGCAGTAGCTAAGAGCTTGACTGCTAACTGAAAGGTTGGCAGTTCAAATCCACCAGAACAAATCAATGTATGAGAGTAAACACAACAGTCTGCTTCTGTGAAAACTACAGCGTAAGCAGCTCTGGTGGCCTAGTGGCAAGAAGCTGCTCTGCAATCTCGAAGGTGCTCGGTTTGAATCCACCAGATGCTCTGCTGGAGGAGGGGAAATCTCCTCTTGTGCCAGTCGGATCTGATTTGACGGTACACAACAAGGAAAAAAATAAACACAAAACCTACAGCGCTGGCAAGCCTTGTGACAAGTTCTGTCTTACTCGATGGCTAGAGTTGAAACTGACTTGACAACAACAGATTAATGACACTCACAAAGATGTAGTTATAAATGAGTATGCTCACAGCATCAACATCATTCATTTATAACTATAGACCACACTTTTTCTCATGTTATAAAGTCAGAATTGACTAATAGCTGACTCTCCAGCACGTTTCCCAGAGGCTGTAAATCACACGGGAGGAGACTGCACATCTTTCTCTGAGGAGCTGCTTGCTGGTGGATTCGAACTGTCAGAGGGCCACCACCTTCGGTTAGCAGCGCAACGCCTGAAGGACTATGCCACCAGGGCTCTCTTATAATTCATTATAGGCAGAGAAGTGTGTGTGTTGGGGGGGGGAGTAACATATTAGCAAATGGGAACAAACTACACGCTGAAAGGCTAATACATTAACTCATGCCAGGATTACAAAGAGGGTTCAGTCTTAAGAAATTTCTTATTAAACTACTCATCATATTTAGAGATCAAGGGTGAAAACACAGGATGATTCTAATCAGAGAATTTTCTTAGCAGGACAAAGACCATCCACCTGAAATAATAATACCGTTGTTCATGATAAATGCAATTCCATTCAAGTCAGGAATAAGAAGAAGATCATAATTATCACAGCTATTACTCAACACTTTTTTAAGACATGAAAAAATATATATTTTGTAAGTTTAAGATGAAGAGAGATAAAATTAGGAGGGAAAAGATTTCAATGTAGGTGACGAAGGTCCCTTTACTTCATAGAATCACGCTGACTTCGGGTCACATCCTGGAGTTTATTGTCAGAGAAATCACACTGTTTCATCAATCTCAAATCAGGGATCCCACTGATGTATGCCATCCCGACCTGTCCAGCTACAGCACTCCACTTCAATTATTCCTCAATCACCAACTAGTCTAAGTCTACAGAGACCAGTGTGTTTTCTCTAGCTCCGTTCCTTTTTGTCTTTACTTCATTCCCTCAATTTAGATTTTCACAGCACAAGATGCACCTCACTGCCATCAAGTAGGAGCTGACCTTCCAGTGGGTTTTCAGAGGCCGTGATCACATGGAAGGAGATTGGCCATCCTTCTCCCAAAGAGCAGCTGGGGGATTCAAACTGCATGCCTTTAGGTTGGCCGTGCCACACCCTAACACTGAGCCACCAGGGCTTCCTTAGATTTTGACAGAGCATTATCATTACTTCCTCACAAATACTCTTCACTCCCTTGCTCCTCTCTCTTTGCACTTAAAGCATCATCTAAAATCACCAACACCTCAGAGCCCCTGCTGTCGAGTCCATGTTCACTTACAGTGACCAGTTTCAGTTACAGTTCACATCCAGTTTCAGAGGCTGTAAATCTTTATGAGAGGAGATGATTTAACTTTCTCCTTTGGAACAGCTGGTGGATTCCAACAACCAACGTTCCGGTCAGCAGTGCAACATGGAACATGTAACACATTATGCTATGCCACCAGAACTGCTTGTTATAAAACCACAATCCTGGTTAAATTCAAATATCTGCCATTTATTGTCTTTGCCCTCCAGGTGGCTAAGAATCGATATTGTTATTACAGTTTCTGTTGTTGATTGCCTTTGAGTCTAGTGACTCATAGCAACACTATGAACAAAAGGCCTGAAGCCCCTCTACAAACTATCAACATTTATCAAAGTTCATAGAGTTCCCAGAGGCAAGTTGTTTAGGAAGCGAATGCCACTCCTGCTTCCAAGAATTGATGTGAGGGAACATAAAAAAGGCTGAGTTGCCTAACATCATACAGCTAACAAAGGAAGTTCTAGAGTGGTAGTTGTTGTTGTTGTTAAGTACTGTCCAGTCACTTGTGACTCATAGCAACAACAGCCCTAAACTCTGCTCTGTCCTGTGCCGATCACACTGTCTCTGACACACCCATCCCAAATACCCCAGTCACTGAATCAACCTACCTCATAGAGGGCCTTCCCCTCCTGTGCTGTCCCTCCACCCTACCAAGCATAATGTCCCTCTCCAAGGACCGGTCCCTCCTTACAACATGACCAAAGTATGTTTGATGAAGCCTCAGAATCCTTGCCTCCAGGGAGCCACTCAGTTTAACCCTTTCTGGGATGAATCTGTTTTCCTAGCAGTCCATGGTACTCTCAAGACTCTTCTCCAGCACCACAGCTCAAAGGCATCAATTCTCCTTCTATCCTCCCTAGTCATTGTCCAACTCTCTGATGCATAACAAGTGACTGCAAAGACCATGGCCTGTATCAGGCTCACCTTAGTCTCCAGAGAGACACCATTGCTCTTCAGTACTTTGGAGAGGTCCCTAACAGCAGACTTTCCCATGGCAATACGTCTTTTAATTTCCTGGCTGCTGGTGCCAAGAGTGTTGACTGTGGAGCCAAGCAAACTAACGCTGTGAACAATCTCAATCTCTTCACCATCCATCCTGATGCTTGCAACTGGTCCAGTGGTGACAATCTTTGTATACAAAGTTAACTCACTCAGCAACTACCTGAATCGTTGGTAGTTTGAGTTCACATAAAATAGGCCTCTGAAGATGACTGCTGACTTCTGACAGGTAAGCCATCAAAAACTCCTCAGATCACATAGTTCCACTCCAACACACACATAGTTGCTATGACATGAAATCTACTGGATGCAACTGGTTTGGTTTGTGGCTTTTAGTGAAGAGCTGACCCGACTAAATGAGGGATGAAAAAAGTGACCTGATAAGTGACAAGGGACCCCAGGATTCAAGTATTAACTGACTCTCCACTGACATGTGTCTGCAGTCTTTCTTGCAAATGACAGACCTGAAGCCTTCTGGAACAATGCTTCTGGCATCCCAAAAACCCACTTGAAAGGGCGAGCAAGACTCGGATTCCTGGGACACTCCCCCCACACACACGGATTCTGGCTAAGTCTCCAGTGAGATCTGCTAGTATGTGATGCACACATGAAGCAGTGTGATCCTAGATGTTGATGTTTTCGTAAAAGAGTCATGCATTTTCTCCATAGACTACAGCCTCCAAATGTGGCTGTCTCTTCATTTGTTTGCTTTCCAAGGACAAGAGCATGTGCTGGTGTCTAGGCCAGGATCTCGGAATGACACATCAATCACAGAGTGAACTGCATAAACACAAGACAAGAAGACTCTCCGGGGCCAGACACTTGTCTGTCTGGGTGAATGGCAACACATATGCCAATGACGACAGCTCATCTTCCCTCCCTCGGGGAACTGGCACCAAGACCGTGATCAGCTGGAAGAAAATCCTTTTTTAAAAAAAAATAAATAAATAAAAATTACAACTTCTCTGCGCTTCCCGAACATTCTGTGCTTCACTTAAACACAGAGCTCACAGAGCTCAAGAATGGCTTTTCTTTGATCCTCTAACATTTCTAGACGAAGCACCTTGCCCACAACCTTTGACCTTCCTTCCTTCCACCACAGAAGTCCTTTGGGGTCCATCTTCTACTAAAAGTGAGTGGAGTGGGGGGGGGGGAGTTGTTTGGGGAAAGAAATAGGGTCCGGTTGATTCTGAAACTGTTACCACTCACAGCCCTTACGTCTCAGAGAGTTTTGACCACTAAAACCACCCCAGCGTGAACAGCTGACATTAGCCTCAGGCTAAGAGCCAAAGGCTTTGGGCCTTCTCACAGCTTTCAAAGCAGCCATGCGTCTCAGGAGCAGGAGAGCTGCCTGT